AAAACTGATTTTTATTGAAGAAACATCGCTAATAAAATTAGCAAAAGAACTGTGTCTGTAGAGTAAGATTTAATAGGCTCATACAACCGTTTAATTAAGACCCTATGCAATGTCACATTTTACATTCCAAAAAAAAGGGGAATGTTGAAATAAAAAATTGAATAATTTTTTTTATGAATGACTTTGACTTATGAAATTGTGTTAAATATATCTCTAACCTGTAAAGTATATTATATTTGTGTCTCAGGTTTATTAATTTTTATAGAAAATTAGTAAAAATTATTTTTTCATAAGCCACCCTAAATTTACACCTGACTGAAAACATAGCCAGGTGTGTAGTGTAGGTGTGCGGAACGAAGGTCATTTTGCGCGCATACGCATGCACGTGCGTGCGCGTGATATGAGTGAAATGACTGATATACTTAATATAGCTATAACTTTTACATTTTTTACTGAAATGATTTGAAACTCATTATATAAAGATATATTAATAGTGTAGATAAGGCGACACTGTCAAATTAGCACGAACTCACGCGCATGCACTTGCGCTTTGCTCTGATTGGCTGAAACAAAAATCTCAATATCTTCTCTGTTTTTAGACGAAATGCTTTGAAATTTAAAACTTAGGCATGCTTAAGGATATCCTACAATATGGTATACAAGAATTTTCATCAAAACACGCGCATGCACGTGCGCTGCAATCTGATTGGTTTAAACTTTAAATGGCTATAACTCCCTTGTTTTTCAACCAAACAGCATGGGATTTAGAACATAGACAAATATAATGGACTCATAGAAGAAGGTATGGTCATCATGAACATGCTTGCACGTGCATGAACGTGCGCTTCGCTCTGATTGGCTGAAATAAAAATCTCAATATCTTTTTTTGTTTTTTGACGAAATGCTTTGAAATTTAAAATATAGGCATGCTTTAGGATATCCTACAATGTCATATATATTAATTTTCATTATATCACGCGCATGCACGTGCGCTGCAATCTGATTGGCTGAAACTTTAAATGGCTATAACCCCCCCTGGATTTCAACCAAACAGGATGTGATTCGGAACATAGATAGATATTATAGACTCCTACAACAGGGAATGGTCATCATGCACAGGCATGCACGTGCGTGCACGTGAAATGTGTAAAATTCTAAATACACTAGATTAAAGATATTTTTGGATTAAATGCTGTAATATTTAGTATATTAAAATATATCACTACTGTAGACAAGATGATATGGTCAGTACGCACATGCATTCAAATGCGCATGCGTGCAATGCTGAAATTGAATACTTCTGGAAAAATTTTGTTGAAGTCTTAAATGTATCGCGTTTGTCTTATTTAATGAAGCTTACAGGGAATAAGGCACCAAAAGGAAGTTGGGGAGCGTTTGGGGAACATCTGTAACGGTTCCCGTTACAATTAGCCCTAGTTATGTTCCCCAAACGAAGTTGGGGAACATATTGTTTTTACTCTGTTTCTTATTATTATTATTCTTATTATTTTTCTTCTTCCTGGGAAAATTTTGTCCACGAGTGATCTTGTAAACTACACATCCGACTTAGGTGAAACCTTTTTAGGGTTAGTAGGCATGTTATGTAGAGTTGCCAAACAAAGGTCATTTTGCGCGCACGTGCTTGCAAGAGCGCGCACGTGCAATAGGTGAAATTACTAATATAATGGATATTGCCGTAACTTTTCTATTTTTTGATGAAATTTTTTGAAACTCATAATGTAAGGATACATTAGTAGTATAGACAAGATAGCATGGTCAAAATAGCAAGATCTCACGCGCATGCACGTGCGCTTCGCTCTGATTGGCTGAAACTAAAGTCTCAATAACTTTCTTGTTTCTTATCATAATCCTTTGAAATTTTGAACATAGTCCTACATTATGAAGATCTACCGCACGATATATAAGAATTTTCATGAAAGCATGTGCATGTGCGCGTGCTGCAATCTGATTGGCTGAAACTTTAAATGGCTATTTCTCCTTTGTTTTTTGACGAAATTCTTTGAAATTTAAAATATAGTCATGCATTAGGATATCCTACGAAATGATATAGAAAAAAATCATGAAATCACGCGCATGCACGTGTGCTGCAATCTGATTGGCTGAAACTTTAAATTGTTATTTCTCCTTTGTTTTTTGACGAAATTCTTTGAAATTTAAAATATAGTCATGCATTAGGATATCCTACAAAATGATATAAAAAAAATCATGAAATTACGCGCATGCACGTGTGCTGAAATCTGATTGGCTGAAACTTTAAATGGCTATAACTCCCTTGTTTTTCAACCAAACAGGATGGGATTTAGAACATAGATATATGTAAGGGACTCCTACAAGAAGGTATGATCATCATGCACGTGCACGCACGTGCGTGCATTTGAAACGAGTATATTTAAAAATACTCTTGTATGAGTGATTTTTATTAATTTTGGACTGAACGCTTTAATATATAGTATATTAAAATATATAAAAAGTGTACACAAGATGATATGGTCATAACGCACATGCATTCACATGCACTTGGGTGCAATGCTAAAAATTGAATATAGTTGGTATCCTTCTGGGAAAACGTTGTTAAAGTCAAAAATGCACAGAGTTTGTCTTATTTAATGAAGTTTACAGGGAATATGGCACCGAAAGGGAGTTGGGGAGCGTTTGGGGAACATCTGTAACGGTTCCCGTTACAATTAGCACTAGTTATTATTATTATTATTATTCTTTTTTCTTCTTATTTCTTCTCCGGTACTTTTTTGTCCGGAAGTGTTCTCAGAAACTGTTCACCAAACTAAGTTAAAACCTTTTTAGGGTTAGTAGGCATGTTGTGTAGATGTGCCGAACGAAGGTCATTTTGCGCGCATTCGCATGCACGTGCGGGCGCGTGCAATGAGTAAAATGACTGATATATTTAATATTGTTGTAACTTTTATATTTTTTGATAAAATGTTTTGAAACTCATTATATAAAGATAAATAAGATGTGTAGATAAGATGACATGGTCAAATTTGCATGAACTCACGCGCATGCACGTGCGCTTTGCTCTGATTGGCTGAAACAGAAATCTCAATATCTTTTTTGTTTTATGATGAAATGCTTTGAAATTTATAACATAGACATGCATTAGGATGTACTACAATATGATATATAAAATTTTTTATGAAATCACGCGCATGCGCGTGCGCTGCAATTTGATTGGCTGAAACTTTAAATGAGTATAACTCCCTTGGTTTTCAACCAAACAGCATGGGATTTACAACATAGATAGACATAAAGGACTCCTACAAGATGGTATAGTCACCAATCACATGCATGCACGTGCGTGCACGTGCGCTTTGCTCTGATTGGCTGAAACAAAAATCTCAATATCTTTTCTGTTTTTTTTACAAAATGCTTTGAAATTTAAAACATAAGCATACTTTAAGATGTCCTACAATATGATATATAATAATTGTCATGAAAATACGCGCATGCACGTGCGCTGCAATCTGATTGGCTTAAACTTTAAATGGCTATAACTTCCTTGTTTTTCAACCAAACAGGATGGGATTAAGAACATAGACAGACATAATGGACTCCTACAAGAAGGTATGGTCATCATGCACGTGCGTGCACGTGCAAATGAGTAAAATAGTGTAGACAAGATGATATCGTCAATACGCTCATGCAATCACATGCGCACGCCTGCATTGCTTAAATTTGAAATACTTGGTATACTTTTGGGAAAAGTTGTTTACGTCTTAAATGCATAGATTTTGCCTTCTTTAATGAAACTTACAGGGAATATGGCACGAGAAGGGAGTTGGGGAGCGTTTGGGGAACATCTGTAACGGTTCCCGTTACAATTAGCACTAGTTATTATTATTATTCTTTTTTTTTCTTCTTTGTTCTCTGGTACTTTTTTTGTCCGCGAGTGTTCTCAGAAACTGTTCACCCAACTAAGTTAAAACCTTTTTAGGGTTAATAGGTGTCAAGTGTAGTTGTGCACAACGAAGGTCATTTTGCACGCATACGCATGCACGTGCGTGCGCGTGAAATAAGTGAAATGACTGATATACTTATTATAGCCATAACTTTTACATTTTTTATTGAAATGCTTTGAAACTCATTTATAAGGATATATTAATAGTCTAGATAATATGACATGGTCAAATTAGCAGGAACTCACGTGCATGCACGTGTGCTTCGCTCTGATTGGCTGAAACAAAGATCTCAATATCTCTTTTGTTTTTTGACGAAATGCTTTGAAATTTTAAAATAGTCATGCATTAGGATATACTACAATATAATTTATAGCAGGTATCATGAAAACACGCGCATGCACGTGCGCTGCAATCTGATTGGCTTAAACTTTAAAAGGGTATCACTCCTTTGATTTTCAACCAAACAGGATGGGATTTAGAATATAGATAGACATAGTGGACTCCTACAAAAAGGTAAAGTCATCATGCATATGCATGCACGTGCATGCACGTGAGATGGGTAAATTTTAAATATACTCGTGATGAAGAGTATTTTTTAATACTTTTGGATTAAATGCTTTATTATTTTATTATATTATTGTATATAGATAGTGTAGACAAGATAATATGGTCATTACGCACATGCATTTACATGTGCACGCGTGCAAATGCTAAAATTTGAATATACTCGGCATACTTCAGGGAAACGTTGTTAAAGTGTAAAATGCATAGAGTTTTTCTTTTTTAATGAAGCTTAAAGGGAGTATGGCACCAAAAGAGAGTTGGGGAGCGTTTTGGGAACATCTGTAACGGTTCCCGTTACAATTAGCCCTAGTTTAATTGTCTTTTGCAAAACTAAACACAAATGTCAATTCGATAAAAAGCTTAATCATAGAAGTCATCAGTATAATGGGTGGTTTCTCTGAAGAGACGTAACAAAATTTACACTTTATCCATCTAATTTTGATTAAAACTTTTGATGAAATTTTAAAGTCCTTCATCCTAAAGTATTAGTTGTATACAAACCTTTTCAATTAATACACTTGTTTCTTCATGTTTCCTTTTGAGTACTTTATTTTTAGACTTTTTATTGGTCGTCGTCACGGCTGGCCGTGGTTTGTGCCTGACTTTAGCCCCCCAGTGGGAGGGGAGTCCATTAGGTAACCTTTTACCATCCTCTGCTGCTGGGAGGCTGCCTATAAACTAATGTCCACCATTTTCGGGCCGTGGTATTTCTGCTTCTTTTTTGATTTCTTATCCCCATATACGCTTATTTCTGTAACAATCATACTTTGGAGTAAATATTGATAGAGACAAGAGTCTGTGACTATCCCTAAATAGTTCTGTTATTAGTGTAGTTTATGCCTAAATAATGGAACTGGCATCTTCATATTAGTAAAAATACATTTGACGTCTTCAATTATACATTTACTAGTAAATACTAGAAGTACATTTTTGTCTTGTAATTAGTACAAGAGAATATAAACTTTAATATCAACACACATTAATTAGCCAAGTCATAAGCGACAATATTGATATATATCTTCCCTTTACTCATAATTAATTTTGCTGTGATCGTTGTAATGAATACATGTAACATATTTTCTTTCTAGCATTAAACTTCGATGGCGAGTATAAGTGAGGCCTTTGTCTTAACACCATTGGCCAATTCTTTCAATTTCTTTTCTACCTTAACACTTCATCAACAAAACTTTGATTAAAAATTTTCGCGAAACTTCTACTTCTATATCCTTAAGTACATATTTAGGGCTAATAATTGACTTGGAACTTGTACAAAGATTTGTAATGGAAATTTTAAACAAGAAAACAACTTTATGTATTATGTCGTTAAATAACGCTGTTTTAAAGCACTGAAAATTTCAAAGTGTTTGTCATGTAGGAATTTTAACCCAAATTTTTTGGGGAAAGATGTAATTTTCAATTGGGACACTGAAGAGTCTTTTTTACTGTAACTCCATGCATTGTCATATTATGCCTTGGTATTTGTATTTTAGAGCTCTTTAACATCTGCTGATAAAATGACGTTATGTCTGACAGAAAAAAGAAAAGTAGTGGGTGGGATAAATAATTGATCATGAAACGGAAGTTGATTTTTTATCGTTTAGTTTCGTATAAACGTTAGACCTACGTTTTCACTTAATTCTTAAACACTAAAAAATATTACTTTTACGATCATACAAGTAGTATCATACTGCCATTGTACGGAGACTGCCCTGAAGTAATACACGCTGTATTAGAGTGTTTTGATACCTCTCAGGGGACAGAGTTTGAAATAGATTTCATCTGTGTGTCGTCTTATACATTGTATTAAGACCTGAATAAGGGATACAGTTGCGGAGGGCACATAGCTGAGAATCTAAAATAACCATAACATAAGACCTGAATAAGGCAGTTGGTTGGTTATAGGGAGAGATGGCATACCACAGGTGGGGGAAGTGCCAAGAGGCAGTCCTATCGTAGTGGCAGGAAAAGAAGAAATTTACTTACGGGAGACACCCGTTGACCACAGTTAGTGGTTGTCCAATCAAGAAGAGATCCATTGTATTACTTTATCGTATTTGTATATATTTGATTGTAATTTTATTTGGTCAACAAAAACCTGAGTTAACAGGTTAACAAACCCAAGTGTAACGCCTCGGTGATACAAGACGTATCACCAAACACCAAGCTCGGCTGCGTTGCACGTTACATTATTTGTTGGCAAGCGTCGGGATTTTGTTGACCATGGATTCGTCCAAGAAAGTGTCAGAAACTATAGAGCGAATGGAGAAGCTCTTAGAAAAAATGAGAACGCCAACCAGCAACGATGGTCAGACAAATGCGGCAAGCCAAGAGTCTGGATATGCAGCACGCAGTTCTGATAATACCGGTATGTCAGGAGATGTGTCATTTGACGAGTACGGCGCACGGCCTAAAGTTAGATTTCCAGACGAAGGCGCACCAAGCTACACATCAAGAGCTGGGGTTGACGACATTGTGACGGGCCATCTATTTGACACGCCTAAACCGCAGAGACAGTCAATGGGGACAGAAAATGCCAAGACAGGCCATATAATCAAGCCAGCCACGTATGACGGAACAGGTTCCTGGCTTGACTATAAATCACATTTTGAAGCTTGTGCTGTTGTAAACGGCTGGGCAGAAGATAAGAAAAGTCTTTACCTGGCTGTTTCACTGCGTGGGCAAGCACAATCAGTGTTAGGTGACTTACCAAGTGATACTGGTCAGCACTATAAGACACTGGTCAGATCCCTTGAGGAGAGGTTCTCCCCTCCTAACCAAACAGATCTGTATCGTGTTCAGCTAAAGGAACGAAGGCAAAGAGCATCTGAGTCCATACCAGAGTTAGGTCAGGCCATTAGACGACTAACCAATTTGGCCTACGCATCAGCACCTGGTGATGTGCGAGAAACTCTGGCCAAAGATGCGTTCATTGATGCCTTGGTAGATTTAGAGATGAGGATCCGCATCAAACAATCTCGTCCTCAAAATCTGAATGAAGCCATCCGGCTAGCAGTTGAACTCGAGGCTTATAATCGAGCAGAACGACGAAACCTAGAAGCAAAAGGCCATTTGCGAGTATCGGCACCAGAACACTCATCTGCTGAGGTTAGCCAAAACAGTCTTGAGACATGGATGAAGTCCATGGAGACTAACATGAGTACGTTAACCAACGAGATTCGAAAACTGAAGCTGAATCGGTCAGTCAGTAAAACCTATGACAAACAAGCGGGAGGCAAACCATTGCGTTGTTATGAGTGTAACAAGGAAGGCCACATAAAACGTCACTGCCCAAAGCTGAAGAAACGACCCTGTGAAAGTGAACACAAGGATTCAAAAGAGAAAAAGGGATTAGGCAGGCCAGTACGAAGTAAACAGACGTCAATTTGTCCTAGTGGATCAATTGGAGTTGGATCTTTCCTAGATGAGGCAGGCATGTACATAGACATTTCTGTGCAAGGTGCCCAAGCTAAATTCCTAGTTGACACAGGGGCAACACTGACATTGTTGTCTTCAGCAATGTACGAGAAAATTGCAGAGAACATCAGGCCAAAGCTACAGAAGGTTAACCAGAGTATCTTAGCTGCCAATGGAAGTGAGCTGTCTGTCAAGGGTAAGACAGACACAACACTTAATATTGATGGTATGGTAACACATACGACTGCATTCATTGCGGAGATCCTGGCAGATGGAATACTGGGGCTTGACTTTTTACTGTCTAATGTATGTACGGTCGACATGAGTCAAAAGGTGCTTCACAAAAGAGATAAGATAATACCAATGTTTGTTGAGGGTTACATTGGCTGCAACAGAATAACCGCAACAAAGATAGTTAGCATTCCTCCTAGAAGTGAGATCATCACGCAAGGACAAGTCTTGAAGGACTGCAAATATGTTCCATAGAAAACGTGTTTGGTAGAACCATTTGTATCTGATATACCAAGAGAAGGCTACATCACAGCCAGAACACTGGTCTTACCACAAGAGACGGTACCAGTCCGTTTGCTCAATGTTGGTGAGGAATCCAAAGTCATATACCCAGGTACGGTTATTGGACACTGATGGACAACTCAGTGAAGTCAGAGTGGTTGAGTCACAAGAAGAGAATATGTCAAGCAAATGTAAGAAGTTAAGACCTGATTTGGTTGAAATGCTGAAGAAAACTTCGGACCACTTGACACGGAAACAGAAAAGGGAAGCTCACAAATTTTTGTATGAATATACCAAACTTTTTGCAAAGTCTGATAAAGATTTGGGACGTACAGGCATCGTCAAACACAGGATTGATACAGGGGACAACCATCCTTTCAAAATACCCCCAAGGAGAATACCCGCTCATCTTACAGAGGAGGTTGACAAACAGCTGAATGATATGCTGGAGAGAGGTGTGATCGAGCCATCAAACAGCCCATGGTCAGCACCTATTGTGCTAGCCAAAAAGAAGGACGGTACATTCCGCTTTTGCATTGATTACCGCAAGTTAAATAGCTGTACAATCAAGGACGCATACCCCCTTCCCAGAATAGATGAGTCACTGGATCAGCTGAGTGGTAGCTCGTGGTTCTCTACTCTAGATCTCTGCTCAGGATATTGGCAGGTAGAGATGGAGCCAGACGACAAACAAAAGACAGCCTTTGCCACACGTCGTGGACTATTCCAGTTTAAGGTCATGACATTCGGCTTATGTTGTGCTCCTGCAACATTTGAGCGCCTAATGGAAAGTGTTTTGGCAGGCCTTCACTGGGATATCTGTCTTGTTTACCTGGATGACGTGTTAGTGACGGGCAAAACTTTTGAGGAAATGTTAGCAAATCTTAGAAAGGTTTTTGACAGACTGCAAAATGCAGGCCTTAAACTCAAAGCCAAGAAATGCTGCTTGTTTGCCAAGAAGATGACTTACCTGGGACATGTTGTGTCGGAGGAAGGCGTATCGACTGACCCAGACAAAACAGCTGCAGTAAAGCAGTGGCCAGTACCTAGTAATACCACTGAGGTACGCTCATTCCTTGGGCTATGCAGCTATTACAGGAGATTCATCAAGGATTTCTCAAGCATTGCAAAATGCCTACACACACTGACAGAGAAAGGTCGCACCTTTGCTTGGTCTAAAGAATGCCGAGTGTCATTTGACGCCCTAAGAAATAAGCTGACCAACACTCCAATCTTAAGGCATCCAGATTTCTCTCATCCCTTCATTTTAGATACGGATGCCAGCAATGTGTCTATAGGCGCAGTCCTATCACAAAAGATTGATAGTCAAGAGAGGGTTGTTGCTTATGCAAGTCGGACATTGACAAAGTGTGAGCGCAGGTACTGCGTAACACGAAAGGAATTGCTCGCGGTTGTCCACTTTGTCAAACACTTTAGGCATTACCTCTACGGTAAAAAGTTCATAGTCCGCACAGACCATAGCTCCTTAAGGTGGCTTTTCAAATTTAAGAATCCAGAAGGACAGTTGGCACGGTGGTTGGAAATCCTCAGTACATACGATTTCGAGATTCAACACCGACCAGGTACACAACACAGCAATGCGGATGCATTGAGCCGTGTGCCATGTCGCCAGTGTGGTTTTGATCCAAATTGGGAGATAGATTTGGAAAGTAACAAGCAAGACGGAGTGAGAGCTATTTCCCAAGCCAGTGGATCAAAGGATGACGATGACGATCCTTTGCTGTCTATAAAAGATATGCAAGACAAAGACAAAGATATATCCCTTGTCAAACATTGGGTCAAGGAGAAGAAAAGACCTAAGCACAGTGTGATAAGTGGCCAAGGCTATGAACTCCGATCTTTATGGTCACAGTGGAACAATCTTTGTATAGAGAATGACATTTTGTATAGAAGATTTGAAGAGGAAGATGGAAAGACCATACGCTTGCAGGCTATTGTGCCAATTAGTCAACGACGGACAATATTCGAGTACTGTCATGATGTGAGGACAGCTGCACATCTTGGTGTGAGCAAGACACTAGCTCGAATCAGGCAAAAGTTCTATTGGCCTGGTTTGCAAGCAGACACCAGAATGTACATAGCAGGTTGTGAGAAATGTTGTAAAAGGAAGGGTCCTCAAATGAAGAGAAGAGCACCCATGGAATTGGTTGAGAGTGGTTTACCCATATACAGGATTGCCACGGACATATTGGGAGAACTACCAATGACAGATGATGGCAATAAATACATATTGGTTGTATCGGACTATTTCACGAAATGGACCGAGTCCTTCCCTATGCCGAACATGGAAGCCAAGACTGTGGCAAAACTTATTGTTGAAGAAGTAATTGCCCGGTTCGGCGTACCATCAGTAATTCACTCTGACCAAGGTCGACAGTATGAGAGTGCGCTGTTTGAGGAGATGTGCCAGATTCTCCAAATCAAGAAAACACGGACCAGCCCCAACCATCCACAAAGTGATGGAATGGTAGAGCGTTTTAACAAGACGCTAGTGACCATGTTAAGCGCTTATGTGAACGACCATCATTCAGATTGGGACAAACACCTACCATTTGTAATGATGGCTTACAGGGCTTCCGTTCACGAGACAACTGGCTATACTCCAAATTACCTGATGCTGGGAAGAGAAGTGTCAACACCGCTTGACATCATGTTTGAGATGCCCAGATCAGTGCAGCAAATTCCCAAAGACAAGTGGGCCTGGGAATTAAAAGAAACCTTGGAGAGTGCACACAAACATGTCAGA